AATCTCTTCTCTAGATCTATAGTTGTTCCACTAAGCATATGCATACTTGTTTAATCTGAAAGCAACAATTTTTACCATTTAATTAATTGGTAACTTTTGTATTTCAAAATGCATTAATTCTACCATATTAAGCTAATTAAGGAACTCATGTAGTTTGATCTTATCCTCAAACTCAAGACTATCCACCTTCATATCCATATCACAAAGTCAAGCATATGGTTAAGTTACATGATTTTCCTCCACCATCTCATTCAACTCTTTATGTGGAACACGAATACTAAGGATAAATTTCATCCTTAGAGGTATGGTCATCATCTACACAAATTTGTGTTTCAAAGCATTGTAAACACTGTTAGTTGTTCTACTTCTCTTCTTAGTTTTTCCTTGATTTTGTTCTAATACCATCTTGGAGCCATTGGATTAACCATTCTATAATCAAATGAACAATATTGCTCTAATTCCACCTAATGCAACCCATGTCTTTGACCAAGGACTATGGATGAAGGAATTTTAATGCTCATAGAAATCATAGCAAATTAAGAAGAGAAGTCACAAGATAATTGTGTTCAACCTACTCAACTTTGTACTTTACTAACACCAAAAGCTATAAAAGAGGAGAAATATATAAGACAGCTTAAAAGCTACTCAAAGAAAGCCTTGACTTTTCATAGTAGGAGGCAAAGCCTAACAATCAATCCTAATTATTGGCTTAAGAAATCTCAACCATTGATCTACAAGTAAGTCATGACTTTTCATTATCCATGATAAATCCTATGAATTTTCTTCTAAACATGACTATATACAAGTCCTTTCATCTCTCCAAATAAAGGCTATGCTTGAAACTGAAAGTTGATCATCCAATGATCATAATGTACAAAAATACCAGGAACTAGAGAGTTAGAATTTCAAAAATTCATAGAACTTCAATGCTGAAATTGCATTAGTGAGACAAATTGTTTTGATGTCCAATAGTGAATCAAAGTGGTGTTCGTAACCAAGCTTGAATCTTCTTAGTAATACTACAACAAGTTGAAGATGGTGTAATTCGATCTTTGCACTCTTTGAATTCTTCTTGGAATTTATAGCAATAAGGGCCTAACCTTTCTTACATTTTTGGCTGATATTTTTGACCCAAAATAGATATGGAGTAGTGATACAAAGAATGGATAATAGGTCTAGTCGAATGGGGTTCAAACCTTAGCCAAAAGGTCTCACAATGGTGGGATCAAATTCATCTAGTAAGGGAGAACATGCGTTGTTCGATTCCTTCTAATTCCACTAAAGAACCCTCTCCTATTTTATTTACAACTCCTAACTTATTTAGTATTAGATTAGAGAGAGTCCAACTCTCTTAATTCAACCATTAGATTAGAATCCATCTAACTAGTTAAACTAGTCAAATCTGAGTCTTACTAGACTTATCTAGAACATAATTTGACTAGGACTCTTATGTAAGACTTTATATTATCAATTAGCACGCTAATAATTCCAGAAAATATCTATCCAATTAAGATTGCAAGTTGTATGGGTGTGGGACCCACAACTTAATGGGAGAGCCAACATGTCACATGCTTTATTTTAGATAGTGGGGTTGGCCACTTATGTTTTAATTATCCTTATAAGCTAATTCAACTATAGCTATTATGGGCTTATGTGATGAAGCTCATTAAGTGTCTAAACACTTGGATCCTTACCATCCTAAAGGTCAAAGTCTATTGGCTCAGCCCATTATGTGATAATCAAGTCAATACAAACCAATTAATCATTTGCAATCAATTTCTCTACTATAAACACTCTAAACCACATTAAAGGAATGACTTTCTCCCTCTTTTCCTTTATGACATGGTGTCCAATTTCCAATAGCATTGGATCCTTCATTGAGGATTTAGATAATCTTATTGTTGGTAGATTCAGGACTCTAAGGAGGAAGTATACAAAGTGTTCTCTATGCCTTAACCTAGTAGCAAATCTTATTACACTGATAATTAGTCGACATACCATCATAGAATGTGCCAACATACCTAGATGTTTGATCTAAGAAGAATCTCATTGGTTAGTATATCAAAGATAGACAAGTTGGATACTTAATTTCATACCAATATCAAGTCTAGGGATTAAAATCAACATCAGTTGTTCTATCTATCAAAAAGTCCAGGAATATACTAGGTTTGGTCCAATTCAGTGTTTTTATAAATATCCATTCTCCTACCTTAAGTCACAACCCGAGTAGCTGAGATCTACTGCTCCACTAATTGGGCAGTGTGACAATGACAATCTTGTCAGGGTAGACCTYGTCAAGTGTATCCACTGGTTGTAAAGTTTTAAGTCTATATTATAACAATCATGTGATCTTATACATAATACTTATATGAACTAAGGGCATTTAACAAAACAATCCAATGACACATGAAATATATGTTCTTTTATTCCTAGCAAAAGTATGTATGGTACATCACTTAGAGCTAAGGGCATACACACTATCTAATAGAAACTTTGATGGCCTCTTAAACAATAACCTTGTTTGGCCTCRTTAATTGAGGAGTTACATTCCCTAGTGTAGGGGTGTCATGGTATTCAAAAATCTGATTATGAATTTGAGTTTCAACATAATCAAATCGAATTCAGATAATTCAAATATCATATTTGGTCAAACTTGGATATCTTATTCATATCATTTAAGTAATCGAGTCAAGTTCAAATATGACTTGATTTGGTTCAATTTGCTAAATATCTGAATTCGACTAATTATTTAATTCTTATATATAATATATAAAATATTTAAACATTTTATATCACATATATATAATTTTTAAATTATATAAATAATTTCTATGTTTATATACATTATATAAATGGATATTTATTTTTATATATTTATTAATTACCTAAAATATTTAATTGGTCAAATTTGAATCTAATTGAATATTCATATATTTAAATCAATTTGAATTTGGATATTTCCTTATTTGATTAAAATTTGATCCATTTACACCCCTACCTTAATGTCACTTGCATTAAATGATCTTGCATCATTTTTCAAGTGTAATCATATAAGAAACAAATTTTAATGGATTTATGTAGCAACATGGAAGCCACTAACCAATATGGGTCCTAACTACCTAGGTTTTCTGAAGAGGCAAATGAAATAATAATTAAAATTTGGATTTTTTTTCGTTTAAAACAATATATTGGTCATGAACCTTTTCTAATTTACAGTTGTGCAAAATAATTATTCTCCCACTTTCATTTTTGAATTGATGTAATTTTTTCTAAAGGGAAAAGCTGAGTTATATTCAACTTAAAGAACCTTAATTACAATTCCGTGACAAACCACAATTGGAGAGAACTCCCTTAGTACGTAACTTCTTATAGTTGGCACTTGCACAATCTAGGGATGGTTGCTTGAAATTGCTTATAAGTCTTTCCAATAAGTCCTAGTCAAACTAGCTATGAATTCGAAAGTGTTTAACTAGGAAACCTAAACAAGAAAGGCTCTAGTATTTGGGTTAGATCATGAGAGCAAGATTCTCTCCAATTCCCTCCTAATAAAGTTGGGAAACCTAGATGGATAAGGAGAGGATTCTTGCAACTCTCCCTTGTCTATAAATAGAGCTCAAAACATAAGTATTAATCATTGTGAGAGACTAAACAAGGATTTTGTAACCCAATTCAACTAGACCTTTGAAGTAACCATTAGAGAATGATTCCAAAAGAAATTTAAGTGAGAAGACCACACCAACTGGTGACCAAAGGATCACCATTCTTGCTGGAATTTGATTGTGGCTGCAAACACAAAACTGCACCATCTTCAGTTCTTTGCAAACATTCTTGGGCTGGACAATTCGAGTTTAAGTGTGAACTACCACTTTGATCTCAGCATTTGTTGACATCAATATCAAATACTACACTCATTCTTGATCCAAAGATTTGATCTTTCTTGATCTAAAAATCCCAAACAATCCAAGGAGAAAAACCGGTTTTCTCATCTTGTATGATTTCAAAATAGGGTTTTTAGAAAATTTTAAATTTCATCCATTCTATTTGCTGGAATTTTTGCAACACGATGATTAATAGATGAACATCTTTCATAATTATCTATCAATAATTCATCTTATTGCTTGGTGACGCTAGGGCAATTAGGCTTGCCTTTATGAATATGGAGACGAGCTTACAGTTGGCTTAGTTTCCATTCAAGTGTGTATCATTTGACATGTGTATTGAAACATGTCTTGTGAAGAAACATCTCTCTCTATATATATTGTTTATGTTTAGTACTTATCTGGAAATTTTAATTGATTTCATCTGCTTTAATTGTATTCGTCGACAGTTTTACCATTTTTTTTGTGATAATATATTCATATTTCTTCTTTAATTTTACTGATTTTCATGTCCAATAGAATTTTTCCCCCTTTAATTACCTATATATCGCACAACCATTATCTCCTTGAAGTCTACATATTATTTTTCCTTTTCTAAATTTGTTACATTGTCTGTCATAAGAGAAGATCGATCTTCTACAGAGTATTATAATTTGGTGGGTGACTGTTAAAAATAACAAATATATATATATATATATATATATATATATATATATATATATTGCAAATATTTTTTATTTTCTTTTTGGACAATACTCTTTTTTTCTAAGAAGGTTTGCGACGGTATGGGTCAGGGAGTCGGAGTTCATTCTCGTTTGTTGATTGAATCATTAAATTATAGAGAGAACCCATACCTTTCCCTCTAAAGGAAATGCATTTATAACCCCTCCTTTCAGGTTTTATTTTGAGATTAATTGGGGAATCTTCGGTCAGCTCCCCCTCAAAAGTCGAAAATTCAATTAAGTACGTACCGAAACCCGATTCAATCCCACCCCACCTAATAAATGTAAAATTTATTTCGGCTCCCCCCGCCACGTCAGATAGGTGAAACTTTTGATCCCATTATACCTCTCATATCTCAACGGTAATCTTTTTCATGTGTTCATTCGAATTGAACACACCAGAAGCATCCCCCTCACCCCCTTCTTCCTCATTCGAACCGAACGCAGCAGCGTCACCCCATTCCTCATTATAACTGAACGCAGCAGAGGCGTCTCCGTCATCTTCGTTTAACTCACCTCAGGCGAAACATCTTCTTCCTCATTTGAACCAAACGCAGCAGCATCTCCATCATCTTTTTGCTCACCCCAGGCAAAACATCTTCTTCCTCATTCGAGCCGAACATAGCACTGTCACCCCACTCCTCATTCGAACGGTAATCTTCCATCGTCTACCCCTCATCCCAACGATAATCTTCTTCCTAATTCAAACCGAAAGCAGTAGCGTCTCCGTCGTATTCTTGCTCACCCCATTCGTCATTCGAACCAAACCAGTAGCGTCTTCTTAATCCTCAAAGAACCGATCCAGCAGCGTCTTCTTCTTCCTCGAAGTTACCATTCTTCCTCATTTGAACCGAACGCAACAGTTTCACCCTCTTCTCTGTTTCTCAGAGCCGAAAGGTACAATATCTTTCCATCCTCTTCTTCCCCATTTCGAAACTACAGCATTCACCCTCTTCTCCATTTCTCATTGTCGTTAATCTCTGTTCCTTAGAGTCGTTAATCACCGGAGGTTCATCTCTCATTGCCGGAGCTACAGTGTTTTCCCCATTTTTCATAGTTGTTAATCACCGGAGCTTCGGAGCTTCATCTCTCATCATCGGAGGTACAACGTGTTTTCTAGTGCTTTGAGTGTGGTAAGCATCCAGTTGTGTCTGCATTCTACACAATTCATTTATTTTGGTTTTGATAATTTCTTGGTTTTGTTGAGTGTTAATTTGGGGTGATCATGGGTCGGGATAGGCCGGGCTTTGCACTTATGATAAGGGCTATAGCTTAGGCCCAAGTCTGGACTGACCCAAGGTTCCGGGCCTGAAACATAAGCCCTAGCCTAGGTCTATACGGGTCCGAGCCGGGCCTGATTCCGAGCTAATGTCACCTATAAATAAAACATTACATATCTATATATTAATTTACATAAAATGCATATAAACTTATTTTATACATTAATATAATATATAAATTATACATGTCATGTTATAATATTTGTATATAAAATATATAATATAATGTAAAATAACATGTATACATTATACACAAAATGTATAAGTTTAAATATATGTGGGCCGGGCTTAGCCCAAGCCTGGACTGAAAATTTGCAGGCCTGGGCCCAAATCGAACCTGAACACAAAACCTAGGTCGAAGCCCAAAATTTTTGGGCCAGGATGAAATGATCACCCCTAGTGCTAATTGAGTTTTGTCATTCTATATATGAAATTTAAATGGTACTATATTTATTTTGTTACTTGTGCTAACAATAGGTTGTTAAATTCTCGACAGAAAAATGTTAGATGACAAAGTTGGGACTAGGTGCTCCTCGAAACGGTTTAGGGAGATGTTACAAAGTTTGTCTCTAAGTTTGAAGCACAAGAGAAGGCTCAAAGAGACTCCCTTTGGACACTTTTTGGATTTGCCACAAGTGATTGTTGAGATGTCCCTATTAAGTTATTTAGTGAAATTGTAGGACTTGACTAGGCAGTGTTTTATAGTTGGTGAAGGATTGTGCAATTCAGCGAGGCTAATGTTGCCCTGATAACGGGTCTTGGCCTATCGGGTAGTACAGTTTCCCTATCGGAAGGCGTTGTTGGTAGTGGATTGTTACAAAGATCTTTTGGCTTTGATCAAAATCACTCTGCCTCTATAGAGTTGGATCTTGTGTGGAATAGACTAAAGAAGATTGTACGATTAGATGGTGAAGAGTACATTGAGGAGGTGGTAAAGTAGATTATTCTGCTCTTGTTCAGTTATGTGATGTTTCCCCAAGGCAGTTCGAGGGGTGAGCTCTTTCTGGGCTGGATACAATGACGATTTATAGCGTATTGGTGATTATGCTTGGGGTAAATGTGTACATCAATTCTTGGTCGGTGGTCTTGATCAGTTTTTTTCTAGTTATGGTGTTGGATTGCACAGAGGCTCAACCTTGTATAGTGGTTGTCTATTTGGATGTAGTGCAGTGTTGATGGTTAGTGTGGATGACATTCAATTTTTTTTAATTTATTGTTTATGTTATTCTCACTCAATTGATGATCATTTATTGGCTGATTTCTTCTTTGTAGGCGTGGATTACGAGCACACAACATTATTCAGTCCTTCAGTCCCTGATGCCAGTCCTCGTTTGTTTAAGTGGGGGAATATGGGGTATCAGTGGAAGTCGAAGAGGGCCAATTTGTTGAAGAAAGCTAGGGCGGAAATGGTTCTCACTTCTTCTCCTCTACTTAGGGTGTTTGTAGTTTTTATTTATTTAGTTCTGCTGGAAACTGAAGATCTCATATGGATTTCTAAACTTATTATAGGTTATTGAGGGTTTGAACCCTACTAGTGAGGAGATGGCCTTAGTGGATGCTTGATCAGAGGGCTGTGTAAATTTTAATTTTTTCCTTTATAGTGGAGTCCTCTATGTGATCTAAGTACATGGTAGATATTAACCTTTGGTGGACCGAGGGGGCCATGGTGTGGGTGGGGAACCTTTTTATAATGGAAAGGATGCTAGTCACGGGTAGCAATGGCGTGGGAAAAAGGTATGATTAGCGTATCATACATGTTTTGAGTTATATACAAGTTGACTTACTACTAATGTTGAGATTTGATAAATTGCTTCTAACTTGATTTTTCAGGAATTTTGCAAATCTTGCATGGAATCCATGGAATATCAAATTCTATGTACGGAGGCTAAAGAGTATAACTACACAAAAAAGCAGAACGTGGAACTTTGTGATGAAGTCAATAGGCTTCATAGAATGATGAAAAATAATGGGTTGGACCCTGATGCAGTACCATGTAGTGATGGCCATGATGGTTTGGCAAGCTACTTGCCAAACGATGATGTGTTAGACAGTGTATGCCCTTAGCTCCAATCAGAAAAGTGTACCTTATGACATTTAATGTAAATGAATAAAGTACATATTTGATTCATGTTATTATGGTGTGTTTCTGTGTAATACCCTTAAACTGGACACATATGAGACTCGTGTTAGTTTAGAATCTTCACAGCCATTGGATGGATCTGGGGAGATTTGTCCTGCCAAGCCTGACATTGATGTGTTGCCAAGTTGGTTGGGGTGGCTTGTCTCCGCTGCTAGGGTGCAGCCTGAGGTACATGCAATGTGGGTTTTCTTGAAACCCTGAACCGGACTAGAATTCCAATATTGCCCTGGACCTTGGAGATAGATGGGCAAAACTGGAATGTTACACTTGACCCCTAAACTTGATTATGATACTGCACTAGGTGTCGAATTGGGCTGTCTTGGAGAT